GCGGCGCCCAGCAAAAGCGCTGCCCCGCCGCTCCGTCTCTGTCGCACTCACGGTGCGTCCCGCCGGTGTGCGAGAGAGACAGAGCGACGGCTTCGGCGCCGCGGGTCGTCGGCCCTCGGAGGCGTCGGTGGGTCGCCGTCCTCTCGAGCGGGGCGGCGCGGCCGCGTGGCCCAGGTCAGGGCTGCCGCACCGCGGGCCCAGTTTCGATTCCCGTCGGAGGCGAATATTTTTCACGTTGCTCGTACTTTCACGTACCCAGATAGACCTCACACACTCCATTGTGTTGTCCTTGCCTGAGGCGCCTGGCGAGGTAGGCAGTCCCGTTAAGCAACGCTGCGCGGCGGGTTGCCTACCCTGCGATACGCAGGGGCTCTCTGACAGCGGCAGCAGAATGCGCAGAATGCCAAGCAGTGCTGCCACTTGAGTCGCCAAACATTCCCAGGATGCACCAGCGTCGAAAGGGCTGCCAACCTCAGCCTGTCCACTGGGCGACAACCGCACAGAAGACCGGTGGAGGCGGCGGCCGAAACCCTGGACGCGTTTTGGGCTCCAGAGTCGCTAAATGGGACTCGGACCGAACGTGTGACCCCACCGATGGATTCCTCGTCCGGAGAGCACTCCACTGGTGGGGTCACAGGACTCTGGAGCTCAAAACGCGTCTAGCAGGCTGCGGTTGGCAGCGACACTAACTAGTGTATCGTGGGAATTTCGGGCCGCTTGTGTGGCAACACTGCGCCTGGTGGGCCTGGCGCTGCTGAGGGATGGCGGGCCGATGGCGGGCCGTCTGCAAGTTCAGGAATAGCAGCGCCGATACTTCAAACGGAGGGAAAGGTGTGAAACACTTCCGACAGCCTAGGGTCGCGTCGTATCGTAGGTCATCTATCGGCTCTGACGTCAGGCCGTGCCTGCTATTTCAGGGCCTTGTCGGGGAGGGCAAGGAACGCCCTTCGCGTTCGGGGCGGCCAATCCGGAAGGAGAACCATCTCGGTGCACAGTGGGCCAGAAGACCGGTGGAGGCGGACAAAACTCTAGAGACGCGTTTTGAGCTCCAGAGTCGCTAAGCAGGCCTCGAACCGAGCGTGTGACCCCACCAATGGATTCCTCGTTCGGGGAGCAATCCATTGGTGGGGTCACACGTTCGGCTCGAGTCCCATTTGGCGACTCTGGAGCTCAAAACGCGTCCGGAGTTTCGGCCGCCTCCACCGGCCTTCTGGCCCACTGTGGAGTGGATTCTCATCAACACTCCCCGTGCTAGTTCTGTCCGTCTGTCCTTCATTTTCTCTCCGCATCCGTGTCGAGGGGATCGTGCGGGTCGATTTGCGACGGACATCGCGACTTGAACCGCGGAGGCTTGCTGCCAAAGCACGTCCATGCGCGCAGCGCGCAGCAGGCTCATTCGGATTCCAAACAGTCTCTCCGTCTCTCTCGCACTCACGGGGCTCGCCATGGGAGTGCGAGAGAGACAGAGCGACCGGGTGGGAGCGCACAGCGCAGCGCGACCGTCCCCGTCATTTTAACGATGCGATTGGACACCTATTTCTAGAAGCCCGCCAAGCCGTGGCCAATCCACAAGGAGACAACGAGGTTTCCGAATGTTCCTGGATTTATGTCACAAGAAGAACCTTCGTAAATAGTCAACAATCTTCGTGAAACTACGACAACTCCTTCGCGCCAACATTTTTTTCCAGAGGTACGTCCGTGAATTCGCTATTTTTTTTTATTTTTACAGTGTGACGTCCCTTCCACGCAACAGGAAGTGGCGCCGTTTTGAACGGGTCGTTACATTTTTCAGTTATGTTCAAACACATTCCCGAAGGCGGCCGTCCGTTCCGATCCGCGTCGGCTGAAAATACCCCACGGCCGTGGAGTAGCGCCGTGCCGTGCACCGCGGAGCGCGGAGTGGCGACGCGCAGAGCGCTCTGGCGGCGGGGCGCGGCACTGGCCGGCGATACCCCGCGCGGCAGGATGGCTTTCCCCAGTCGCGCGAGCCACCGCCAAACCCCCACCTAACACTTGAATAGAGAAACATGAAAAGGGAGTGAAGTCTCATCAACACCCCCTTTGCAAAAATTGTTTCACGTCAAACGAACGAGCTACACTGAGGGGGACCAACCTAGTTATTAGAGGAACGAGCGAGGGTAGACGACAGCGAGAGCGGAGCGCTGGCACTGCCCCGCAGCGCCCCCTCGCGGCCGGCAGACCGACTCCAGCCTCACGAATGATGCTTTTGTTCGCGGTGTGTGAGTCTCTCTCTCTCTCTCTCTCTCTCTCTCTCTCTCTCTCTCTCTCTCTCTCTCTCTCTCTCTCTCTCTCTCTCTCTCTCTCTCTCTCTCCCCTTTTCGAAACCAAACCCAGATTGCCTGGTAGGCAACCCTCCCGAGACTGGTGCACCGCGGGAGTTTTTTTTTGCCTACTTTGGTGGCAGCACTGCTTTGGATTTCCCGCCATTTTACGGCGCGTTGACGAGGAAGTCGTGCCGCGCCGCGATCGCCGCGGTTCTAAAACGGGAATGTGTAGCGTTTCCTTTTTTTTCCCGTCCCTAGCCCACATTTTCTCTACGCCACGCCGTGTAAAGGAGTGTCGGAAATCTCCCGCGCGATGCAGTGGAGGCGAAAGAGTTGCCAACCTCAGCCTGCCGACTTTCGGCATATGCGCACAGTGGGCCTGAAGACCGGTGGAGGCGGCCCAAACTCTGGACGCGTTTTCAGCACCAGAGTCGCTAAATGGGACTCGAATCGAACGTGTCACCCCACCAATGGATTGCTCTCCGAACGAGGAATCCATTGGTGGGGTCACACGTTCGGTTCTAGTCCCATTTCGCGACTCTGGAGCTCAAAGCGCGTCTAGAGTTTTGGCCGCCTGCGCCGTCTTCTGGCCCACTGTGCACTGTTAGTTCTGTTGACTGGCCGGTGAGGCGCGCGCCCCGATGATGCTGTTCGTCAATCACCGCTCCGTCTCTCTCGCACAGCCGCGGCCCGCGCCGTGAGTGCGAGAGAGACGGAGCGAGGCCAGGCTCGGCCGAAACACATAACGCGACGCCACACTGCAAGATGGATGGCGCGGCGGCGCGGCCTAGGGTGCGGACAAGCAGGACAAGCCTGGGGTGGCGTCTGCACGCGTCTGCATTTGCCATCCCGGCAGTCCGTCGCTCTGTCTCTCTCGCACCCCCACGGCACGCGCCGTGAGTGCGAGAGAGACGGAAAGCACCCCCCGTCGCGCCGTCTTTGTCTTCGCGTTCGTCATAAATTTGTCGGGCCGTCGAGGCCTGCCACGACGCTCCCAAAACACTTTCTGTTTTGTTTCGGCGGGACAGTTTTTTTTTTTTTTTTTGGCGAGTCGCCGGCGGCCGTTTGTTGTGAAGGACGCGGCCATCGAAGGACGACTTTTCTGTCCAATTCGCTTCAAGTAATTCGAGCAGCGGGGAGTCTCGGAGTCGCCGCTCGAACGGAGTGGGGACTCGAACCGAACGTGTGACCCCATCAATGGATTCCTCGTTCGGAGAGCAATCTATTGGTGGGGTCACACGTTCGGTCCGAGTCCCATTCAGCGACTCTGGAGCTCAAAACGCGCCCCCACCGGTCTTGGGCTTACCTGGCAGATGCCGGAGACGCACAGCCAGCGGCTGCGTCGCGCCGCCAGGAGCGGGGCGGGCTCGGTGACTTTGGGCAGGCAGGCCGTGCCGTCCACCACGCTCTGGTTCAGCGTGGCGTAGAAGCGGAAGCCCTTGGCGCGGCAGTTGAGTTGGCAGGGGTCTGGGGCTGCAACGGTCCAAAGTTCGGGGTTCAAGGTTCAAGGTTTTGGGTTTAAGGTTTTAGATGCCATGAGGGTGAATCTAAGAGTGCACTGACGAGGTTTATGACACTAGGGACTCCGTGATGCCACGTAAGTCTGTGAAAATTCCCATGATGCACTAGTGTTGAAAGCACCAACCTCAGCCTGCCTGCTAGGCAATACATTGGCTTTGCTCTGGTAGCCCTGTGGGCAGGCTGAGGTTGGCAACCCTTTCCACACCGGCACATCTAGGGAATGTTCGTCTGTTGTGGCAACACTGGCGGCGCCGCGGTCCATCGCTGCAGATTGGACAGCCTTGTCCGCTGAACGGCCATCATTCTGCGGTCCCATTTTTCACGGTGTGCGCCACACACTACACTCACCGGCGAGGAAGGGCTCCCACTGGTAGAAGTGGCCGGAGTAGTTGTGCTTGTTGTGGGCCTCGCACTGCAGCGCGCGGAAGTCCAGGCTGCCGCGGGGACACTCCTGGGAAACAGGCATGCCAACCTTCACTCTAGACGCGTTTTTAGCTCCAGAGTCGATAAATGGGACTCGAACCGAGCGTGTGACCCCACCGATGGATTCCTCGTTCGGAGAGCAATCCATTGGTGGGGTCACACGGTCGGTTCGAGTCCCATTTAGCGACTCTGGAGCTCAAAACGCGTCCGGAGTTTCGGGCGCCTCCGCCGGTCTTCTGGCCCACTGTACCCACCTGCTCGTTGCACACGTGCACCCGCTTGTACTGGCCGACGCACTGCGTGGACAGCACCCTGCTCTTCCTTCGCCTCGCGTCGGATTCGTGTTTCGATCGCTCGCTCCGTTTCCTGCAACACGCGGAGAAGAGGACTTCCATGACACTGCAAAGCGTGCGCACTGCACTGCGAGTCAGGCTCGCGAAAGCGCCTGCGAGGTAGGCAGCAGTGGAGTGTGCGAAACACGGCAGCGCGCCCGGACGCCTACCTCGCAGGCGCTCGCCGTGCAGAGCTAGCCTGCACTGTCCGCTCTGCCTTTCCGTCCGTCCGTCCGTCCGTCCGTCCGTCTGTCTGTCTGTCTGTCTGTCTGTCTGTCTGTCTGAGAGGCGGGGCTACATGTCCACTCACTCCCCCTCAGCATAAAGGATGTGGGGATTTTGGTCAAGAGGACATGCTTTCAGTGTCTATAAGGGCGGCTCGTGTCTGGTCCGGCCGGCGACGGCGGGGCGCTGTGGGAGGGGAAAAAGGGGGGGGGGGGGGCAACGAGATGCACTTCGTACATGCAGTGATGCTGCTATCTCGTCTAATGGACGTATTCCATTAGGAACCCGGAATAAAGGCCGCGCGCTGAAGTCTGGGCCCTCCTCGCCCAGTCGTGTCCAAAAATGAACAAAATGCAAGGAAACAACGGCAAAAAATACAGTTTGACCCTGATTTCGATTGCCTCCGAATCCGTTTTGCGCAGACTGATCCCGAGAGTCGTCGCTCTGTCTCTCTCGCACTCGTGGGGCGTTCCGTGAAGGTAGGAGCGAGAGAGACAGAGCTCTCGGAATCAGTCCGCTGTTTCCAACGCTCCCGCGAGTGAGAAGTAAGTAAGGCAGGGCGTGGGCGGTGCCGGGGCGAAGGGCCACTGTGCTCTCTCTCTCTCTCGCACTCGCGGGGCGCCCCGTAAGGGCGTGCGAGAGAGAGAGAGAGACAGAGCGACTGTCCTAATTGCACTCAGGACCTCCCGTAGTCCTGGCCGCGTGGAGATGGGACTGTTTTGATGGCATCAGTCACGTCGCTGACGAGTCCACACGGGGGGCCTGAACTGGGGGAGAAGAGGGGGGAGGGAGGGGAAAAAAAGGGGAATTCGAAAGAATCTGCAAGGGCTGGGCGCGCACATCTACTTTGCACTTCTTGGGAATGACTTTGGTATCTGGTGCGTATATTTTTTGCCATTCAGAAAATGCAGCATTCCTAGCCGAGTCGCTAATCACGCGATAATTTGCGTGCAGCTTTCAGTCCTGCTGGCTGCCGCGCCCCGCCCCGCCCCGCCCCGCCCCGCCCCACCCCGCCCCGCCCCGCCCCGCCCCACCTGCCCGGCAGCCTCTGGCACCCAGTCGGGTCAAATGGGGGTCGAGTGGATGTTTAGCGTGCGGAATGGAGTGTAAACGATCAGTGTCTGGCAAAGACTGGAGAAGGGGACCTCCCAGGCCAGGTGCACCGTAAAAACAAAAACAAACATCATTGAAATCAATACCTTTATCGTGATTTAGATCAAAAAGTAAATAATCATATTTCGAGTGTTATGGGACGTAATGGTGCGTAAAAATTAATGTCTTTTTCGATGCGCATAACTTTGTGTTTAAATTACTTTTTATTTTTTTTTCCAGTGTTTAGGGGCGTGCTGCTTCCGTGACCCATTACGCAAAGCAGTGCTTTTCTTGCAGCTGTCTTTGGCTTCTGCTTGTTTTGTTGTTGTTGTTGTTGTTGTTGTTGTCTTTTTTTTTGCCCGTCGGCCACCCAGTGCACAGCGTTCGCAGGCCAAGTTGGCACGCTGGTGCATCCGCCCATTTTCGGACCGACCCAGGCGGGTGGCATATTGATGACGACACGTGGTTGTTGTTGTTGTAAATGTTGTTTTTGTTGTCAAGGCGCGATGACGCTTCCCCGTTGACGATGTTTTCTTTCTCATCGCCGCTCGGTCTTTTCGGCAGAGTGAAACTAAGTTATGGAGTACCTAGCAGTGTAGGGCGTCAAGGGCACTGCATATTCCGCTGCGAACGCGCCCAGGGCCCTTCGCCCCAGTGTCGCTCTGCTCTCTCTCCCGCGCACGCAGCCGACGTGCGTGCGCGAGAGAGAGGACGAACGGGTTCGGGTCCACACCTTTTCCGGAGACAGACCCGCCGTCGTGTGTGGCACCTGTTGGTCTCTCTCTCTCTCTCTCTCTCTCTCTCTCTCTCTCTCTCTCTCTCTCTCTCTCTCTCTCTCTCTGAGTCACTATAGGCGCCTGTCGCTTAGCGCGGAGCGTCGACCCACTAGTTGACTTCCATTTCACTCCCCAGAAATGAGCTAAAATCACGAGATCCTCCGTAAGCACGGCGAAGTTTACGCGAGAGGACAGCCAGCAGCTGCGGACTCCAAGTTCAAGTTCGAGGCGCCGGACTGGCGACTCTGGGTGGGAGGGGTGGGGGAGTCGGTTCACGACCCATCCGGGCAGGCCGGGCACGTCTACATAGTCTTTGAACGGACGAAAAACGGGGTCAGAGCGTAGAAATACACAAGTCTCCGACAGACTGCCCCCCTCCCCTTCCAGTGGCGGCGCTCAATGGGCGATGCACGCCGACAAAGGGAGAGCCACAACGATATGGGAAGCATCCGCGAGGTTATCGCCCAGCAGGCCAATCATTCCGAACGGCGCTTTCGTCGCTCTGTCTCTCTCGCACTCACGCTGGCGCCCCCTGTAGGTGCGAGAGAGACCGCTGCGACGTGCTCATCATCAAGATGTCGTTCTCCTTCGCCATTGTGGCGCTGCCTTTGCGACACTGAGGCCGCCGCCGTGTCCAACAGCGGCAAAACAAAAGCGACCTGGCGTCGGAAAAAAATGAGGCGCCGGTCGGGTTTTGAACCTTGCACCTTCGGCGGGGAATCGGGCGCCTTAACGCGCTCGGCCAACCGGAAGCGAGGTTGTCAGAGGATGCCGCACAGCGGCACGACAAAGACGTGGCGAAAAGAAATTGGAGCGCCGGCAGCGGGTTTCGAACCCGCCACTATCGGCGGGGAATCCAATGCCTTATCGCGCACGGCTAACCGAAAGGACGTACCTGTGCTTCTTCTTGTCCTTCTTCTTGTTCACGGCGCGGACCCTGCGGCGACACTCCCTGGTCTGCACGGCCACGCCCGTGCCGCAGGACCGCGAGCACTCGCTCCAGGGCGACCACGGGCCCCAGCTGCCGGACAGCCAGGAAGGCGTCACGGGGTCGGGCGCCACCGGGGCCAAGCCCTGCAAGCACCAAAGCCAGTCAAACAGAGACAAAAACGAAAACGTAAACGCAAAAACGAAAACGCGAAAACGAAAACGCGAAAACGAAAACGCGAAAACGAAAACGCGAAAACGAAAACGCGAAAACGAAAACGCGAAAACGAAAACGCGAAAACGAAAACGCGAAAACGAAAACGCGAAAACGAAAACGCGAAAACGAAAACGCGAAAACGAAAACGCGAAAACGAAAACGCGAAAACGAAAACGCAAAACAAAAGGGAAACAAAAAAAAAACATTAACCTAACTTTGTAGCAAAAATAATTTGACAAAACGTGTAGAAAAATGGGCTCCACTGTGTACATTGCACTAATTAGTACATGCGAACAGCAGCAAAGTACACGGCTAGTGTGAGCTCGTGATAATTTTGTGCACTTCGTCTGGCGCGCCGCGGCAATACAGACTTATGAGTGACACGGTCGTTAGACGTCAGCTCGTCGTCTGACCGACAGAGGGTGGTGCCCCGTCCTCGTACAGTCACGCGAATGACAGCAATGGCACCGTATGGTGCACAACTAGAAAAAGATTTTGCTTTTTGCTTTTTCGCCCGCATATAGCTATCAATAGCTAAATTTTATTACATTTTTAAAATTGAAAATGCTGTTTTTGTTTTCTTGTGGCACATTTGACGAAGCTGTCAGCTGTGTTATCCGATCCAGCGTTCATAGGATCCTGAACTGTCGCCAAGCCTTCCTCCTCCTTTCCTTCAGGATACTAACGGAGATAGAATCTCTACCACAAAACGCCGTCTAGTCTAATGACTCAATTCTTTCCACTTGACGCGCTGCAACATGGGAATTAGCGATCGCGCTGCGAATTGCCGCGCTTTAGGGTCGTTTTGGCGGCCGGCGTGGCGTGGCGTGGCGTGGCGTGGCGTGGCGTGGCGTGGCGTGGCGTGGCGTGGCGTGGCGTGGCGTGGCGTGGCGTGGCGCGGCGTGGCGTGGCGCGGCGCGGCGTGGCGTGGCGTGGCGTGGCGTGGCGTGGCGTGGCGTGGCGTGGCGTGGCGTGGCGTCTGCCGTTCGAGCGACGCCATAAAAACAGACGGCGCTTTGGCGCGACTCGGTGTTGCCTTCCGTCCTGGACAGCGTCAACCGGCGCCTACCCCGTCGAGGCCCCCCGACCGACGGCCCACAGTGGGCTAGAAGACCGGCGCAGGCGGCCAAAACTCTAGACGCGTTTTGAGCTCTAGAGTGGCTAAATGGGACTCGAACCAAACGTGTGACCCCACCAAAGGATTGCCCTCCGAACGAGGAATCCATTGGTGGGGTCGCACGTTTGGTTCGAGGCCTGCTTAGCGACTGGGGCTCAAACCGCGTCTAGAATTTTTGCCGCCTCCACCGGTCTTCTGCTGGCCCACTGCCTTCGCCACTTCGGCACACTGCTCCGAAAATAACGGTCAATTTGTAAACACGGTGGACGAATATTCGCGCCCCGGGCCCAGTGGATTAAGAGGCCGAGAGTGCGATAATAAACAATAGAGCTACACTGTCAAAATTTAGAGTGCAGAGGCAACGGTTCGCGCTCTTCCCCGCGAGCCCCGCTGCTGGTGCTGCCATGGCTCCTTCTCGGATTCTCGACATTCCATACAGACGAACGGCCGCGAACGACCGGCGCCGGTTTTAGTCGCGGCTCCTCTGACAAAACGATATTATGGAACAGAAAAATTACGGAAAAAATTATAACTGAGTATACCTCAGTTGAAGACATAAGGATTCGGGTGGCTTGGATCTTGGATTAATTCGGACTCCGCTATTCCGTTCTGATTTCTCTCCCGGATTACAAAACGTTCGAGAAAGCCAGCCGGAGTTTGCCGATAAGTCTGTGGTCGCTCGGCGAGGGGAAGCGATTGGAAAACCGTAAAGGTGTCGATTCATTTATGGCGAAGATAGTGGTAATTTACAGCAGCATAAAACCCCGGCCATCCCGCCCGAGGGATTGCGCCTACTATGTATTAGTGTAGTTTCTGTGCGAGTGTGTGTGTGTTCGTTTTGGGGGGGGGGATGCTTTCATAGTTTCAGAACATCTTAATATTTTTTCAAAAAGGTGTTTAAAAATTTAATTAAAAATAGAGAGTAGAAAAACTAATGAGAATAAAGGAAGTCAGTTGACTTGTAACTAGGAAAGAAGTGAAGATGTCTCCTAGCCGCTGCCAGCTCGACCATAAACAGTCTGATAAGGAGAAATTATACTAGCAGAGCAGTGACATCCACAAATTTGTCCGAGCCACCCACCGCACCACCAGCATCACCCACCCAGCCGTCCGATGAGTTTAATGTCATGTGCTTGTCCGACTGGTGCAAACCTACAATACTGTTTTGGACTGGCAGAGACAGTGGATTTCACGAGGAGCACTGATGTTGCTCAATGACAGGGAAAGGGTTCTCCTGCCCGGACATTAAGGCGTCTCCCTTGGAGCATACTCGCCCTGAGCTGATGCAACCTTGACTCATGATTGACACCGAGAAACATACTTTGAGTAAATAGTTACAGTTTTAAAAATACAAATCAACTTTTTTTTTCAAATTTAAAGTGAAAAAGTCTTTTAAAAAGCTGACACCTTCGTTGCAATTGCAGCTAAGGTAGTAAAGGAGTCATCTCCGCAAACAAACTTCCTCTATTTTATTTTCTAAAAATTACAGGATTTTTTTTTGTGAATTTGAGAGTGTGAACCGAGGCTGCTTCGTGAGGCTGTGCGGGTCTTCCTCGCGTCGCTCTGCGTTGCGTGCTCTATAGTCTATCGGGCGGCATCCTCCCAGAGAGCTGGGCGCCCCGCCTTGCCTTGCCGCATCCGCCGCGCCCCGCCCCGCCCCGCCCCGCCCCGCCGCATGAAGTCCGCTCCGCCGGGCTGCAGTCAGACGGGAGGCCCGTGAAATTATAATCCCAAGGCGTGTAATATTTTGGCGTGTTGGAATAGCTCACACGCCGACGTCCGTCTCGGAACAACAACAACAACAACAACAACAACAACAACAACAACAACAACAAAAAGGGACGGAGAGAGACAGAAAAGGGCCGCGAGTTTACCGGCGGTCCCCGCGGAACTGCACGCCCTAGGCGGCCCCAGGCCCCGCGACGCAGCCTGGGCCGATTCCGAAACCGTCGCTCTGTCTCTCTCGCACTCACGGGGCGTCCCGAAAGGGGTGCGAGAGAGACAGCACGACGCGAGTGCCCCGCCCCGCCCCGCCCCCCGCTACGCATCGTTCTACCGGGTCTACCAGGACCAAGGGACCCACCCGATTTCCGTCAACGGCAGAAGACTGACAGTTGTATGGATCCACACGCACGCACACACACACACAAAGACACACACACACGCACGCAAGCTCGCGCGGGGCGCCCCAGCGCACAAGCAGGCTGCGGGGGAGATTTGAAAAGTTGGTCGGAACGCGGTCACGCCAACAACGCCAGACTGTCACCAAAGTCCCATCGCCGACGAGTAAAAGCACATTTTTTTGCTGTGTTGAGTGTCAGGTCCTCTATTGGTGCGGGTAGTGCGACGAAGGTGGAAATCGACAAAATTTTAGTCCTGTTGTTCGGTAGGGGGTCCGGTGAGTTGAAGGTGCTGCAAGGCGGCTCGGCTCAGTATCGACTTACCTCCAAAGGGCTGAGGCTGTTGCTCAAGGTCCTGGCACCGCCCTTGTCCTCGGCCAGGACCACGGCGACGGACACCAAGCCCAGCAGCCAGGGAAACAGCCTGCCAAACAAAAACAAAAACGAACTTCAAACAAGGGTAAAATAATGGGTGACACCATTGCTTTCAGCAATTGTTTTTAACCGACACATTAAATCGATTTGATTACACTGCTTCGGCCGGCTGATGATCTGTTCCGGTCGCCGGCGCTCGTGTCGATCTCGATAAAACCGTATCACTCGGGTGGACTCATCTGCGATTACTCGATCGGTGTGAAGATCTCACGACCGCCCAGACAATGCCGCTCTCTGATTGGTTCAGTCAGCCCGTCATTGCAAATCGTGCGTGCTTTTTTTGTGTTTTTTTTTTTGTTGTTTTTTTGGGGGGGAGGGGCTAAATGTGTTACGCCTTATCGGTGCGTGTGTTTTAACGACAAAATGATGAAACCGAGCGATAGCGAGAAAGAGATAAGTGGACGAGAGAAGGTGAAAACGGGTGGAAAAGCTAGTCCCTTACTAAGTGCGCGTTCGTTCGTGGCGCCAGGAAAGCTCTGCCAAAAAAAAGGACACGAGAAAAATTAATATGACTTAGAGTCAATAATTTTTTTTTCAGAGCAGGGTTCGCCACCCACTGACACTGCAACTTTGGTGGACACTGGTAATCAGATCGATCGCTTCGATTGGGCCCTTTAGTGGCCCTTTGGTTGGCTGCCTTTGGTTCCCTTTGGTCCGCTTTGGCCCTGCTTCACACGTCTGCAACAAAAAGGGCCTCCGCCCTCCGGTCATCGCCCCCAGCCCTTCCATTGAACGGGCACCCCCTCCAGGGGCCCTCCAGGAATGTCAAAGGGTAACCTTTCCCTTGGGGGCGGCGGCGCACAGTGGGCCAGACGACCGGCGGAGGCGGCCTAAGCTCTAGACGCGTTTTGAGCTCCAGAGTCGCTAAGCAGGACTCGAATCGAACGTGTGACCCCACCAATGGATTGCTCTCCGAACAAGGAATCCATTGGTGGGGTCACAAGTTCGATTAGAGTCCCATTTGGCGACTCTCTGAAGCTCAAAACGCGTCAAGAGTTTCGGCCGGCTCCACCGATCTTCTGGCCCCCTGGGGGCGGCGGCTTCCAAATGAAGTTGGAAGGCCCTGGAGGCCTGGAGGCATGAGGGTCATGGGGGCGATGGCGCCAGGTGTGGACATGGATAGACACTAGGAGGCGTCCTCGGTTTATAGAGGCGATAGAGCAGCCGTAAACACGGGGAGGGGAGGGGGAAATGTCAGAGCACAGGGAACTAGACTAACCTGCCGTCCGGAAGCTTGTACTAGCGACAGTTTGACCAGTTGCTGGCGGAATTCCGCCCTACAGTGTAAAACCGCGCCGCGAATGGGCGAACACATTGGCGAACACGTCAGCGACTTTCGCGACCGATATGACGCTGCCGGGTGTTGAACCCTGGAACCGGAAGTCCGGAAGCAATAAAGGCCAAGGTGTGGTCACCATTGCTGCGCCCCCCGTCCCGAGAGTCCCTTTCTGTCTCTCCCGCACCCAGCGCCCCAGCCCCGTGAGTGCGAGAGAGTCGAGTGAGTCCACCGCCACGGACCACTGAGCGGCGCGGCGCGCATCGCGGTGGATGCACTCTGCAATATGCGGGTCAGCCCGCAGCGCATTGTCTTGGAGGCTTTATGAAGGGGCGAATATAAAAGCGAGTATTTGAACCCGCGTCGGCGAGCAAGGCGAAGCATCGCCAAGCAACGCCAAGCAACGGCCTGGAAGGGTGCTGCACTCGTAAAGCGCGACTTGCACTCGAATCGCAGGCAAGCTCGATGCCATTTGACTGTCTAACTGTCTGTCTGTCCGTCTGACTGTCTGCCTGTCTGTCTTTCTGTCTTTCTGTCTTTCTGTCTGTCTGTCCGTCTGTCCGTCCGTCCGTCCGTCCGTCTGTCCGTCCGTCTGTCCGTTGGCCAGGCTGCCGCGTTGGTGTCAGTCCGTCCCTGCTAACGATGCGCACTCCAGTTATCGCCCAAGGCGATCCTCGCTGCTGATGACGTTTCCAATTTCGCGATGCGCATGATGAATTATTGATCGCAGATCCGATCCAAGGCCCAGAGGCTCACCCCCTCCCCTTCCACACAAAGAAATGTTATAAACGACAAAAATAAAATCACTTTTAAAATTTGTTGTTGCTGTATGACAAAACGCAGGTTGACATTTTGGCCGATTTGACAATTTCATCGCAACTTGTTGACATTTTCATCCAACCCCCTTTTTTTCACGAGCGTACCAACAATGTCGCATCAATTGGAGGACATTCTCGTGTGGAAAATTATTCTCGAAATGCATCTCGGAGGACGCGCCCGGCGTGAGAGGAGGAAACGCGTTGTAAAGGCTGTGTGCGGCTGGGGGCCTTATCACGAGGGAGGGGAAGGGAACGCTACCTTTCCGGAGAGCGGGCCGTGTGGCACAATACCTCCCCCCCCCCCTCTCTCTCTCTGTTCAAAAGTCCCGCCCCGGAGACCGTCAGCTGACAGCCACTCAGTCAGTGATCGCCAGCCGAACTGCACGCTGGCGCTGGTGGCGCCTGGAGGAGACAAAGACTGACAAAGGGACAGACAGACAGAGACAGGCAGCACAAAAAGACGCCCCAACCTTAGAGCCCCTCGTAGAGCGACTGTGAGTCACCTGCAGTAGTTTCGGACTAGTGACAAAACACCGAAGTCCATGAGCTCAATTTAAGTTTTGTTTGAACTAAACAAACACAATAAAACAAAGCCCTTTAAAACTGCAGAGCTCCGACCTTATTTGTTGTTGTTTTTTTTTGTGTGATACCTATGTGAAATAAAGTGTTTCCCCCCGAATGTGACAACAAGCGCCACCACATGACGATGGGCCGTTTTTCCAGTGCGCGCACACTGCATGCAGACAGGCAGGCGGACAGACAGACAGGCAGACAGACAGACAGACAGACAGACAGACAGACAGGCTGGGACGCAGCAGCGTGCCCATTCAACTGGGACCACGCCGATTCATTCTCTACGGACGCTTGCGCTCGTTTGGCTGCTGCCCTCCTGTCTGTCGATTGTGTGTGTGTGTGTGTGTGTGTGTGTGTGTGTGTGTGTGTGTGAGTGTGAGTGTGTGTGTAAAAAGAGGGGGGCAGGGCGTATGGCGTTTTAGCTAACACGCCGCTGCATTGTCAAACTGGCCCCCTTAAAAAATAAAGTTATTGCTAGGAACGCGGGCAGCGCAGCAGCAGCAGTAGCACAGCAGCAAAGCAAGCAGCGGTGAACAGGAGCGGAACCTCGTTTGGTCCCTTTAGGCATGAAACACAATCCGTCGTAACGCTTGCACACACACACACACACACACACACACACACACACAGAGAGAGAGAGAGAGAGAGAGAGAGGGTCGGACGTGCTTGTTTGGAGGCCGGGGCTGCAACTTTGTCTAGCGGCTAAAAGGTGATTGGCACAGATCGCAGTGTGGCACGCGGTGTGCGGTGCGTCCGCAGCGGAAGAGACGTGACTGTGACAGTATGCAAGTCTGTCTGTCTGTCTGTCTGTCTGTCTGTCTGTCCGTCTGTCCGTCATTAGCTTTCCCTCCTGTGATTGCAACAAGGCCAGACCAAAAAACGTACAGTTATAGAAAAATCATCATTTGATATGAGGCAAGAAATAAAAATGGGCGTTCCGTCAAATTGGTCATGAAAAATCGAGCGGCGGCACGGCGAGGCGCCGGAAAGCCGATTCGAGTGTGGAAATGGATTGTGCTTCCGCGAGCAGAGCCAAAACTCGGTCGCTCTGTCTCTCTCTCGCCTCCGGGAGGTCTCTGCGGGTGCGACGGAGACAGAGCTCACGGTCCTTGGGCGGAGGCACAGCCGGCCCAGCCGGCACGGCGCGCACGGACACATGGACTCACGCGGCGAGTGTAATTCGAAGCGACGCTGCAGGCGCGGACGCGCGAACGCGTGTCTGAGCCCCGCTGGGGGGCGCGATGGGCCGTGGCGGCCTCTGTGTGTGTGTGAGTGTGTGTGTGTTTGAGTGTGTTTGTGTGGAAAGGAGGGGAGACCAAACTAAATCCCGCGCGTCTGAGTGAATCTGACCCCGGAGTTCGCTAAAATGACACGACAACAACTCCACGCCCCCCGCTCTCTTCACACATTGTTTCCCCCGTGTTAGATAAATTATCCTGGTTCGAAAATTAGACCAATTTTTTGGAGAGTAGATACACAGTTTTCAATCTTTTTGTGTGCGTGCCGCCGAAATCGTCATTCAAGAGAACTTTCCAGGGGCGGGGACATCAGCGGCTCTCTGACAGCGATGTCCGGTGGTCGTCGATACAAGAAAATCAAACCCACGCCCTCTCTCTCTCACTCCCTCCTCCTTATCCAAGGCCCCGGGAAAAGAGAAGAAAAGCGGGGAAACAACAATGACAACAAACAACAAAATGATGGCGGGTGGGCCGAAAAAAAAGGGAGAGGAACTGTTGCGATGTAGTGCTGATCGGGACGGACATGAATGAGTCTGAACTAAGCCGCCCTCTGTGTCCGCCGGGCTGAAAGCCGGTCAAAAAGTAGCCAGCGCTGTGAGCGGAGGGGGGGGGGGAGTGGGATGCCAAATGTTTGTTTGTTCGGCCGGCCTAAAGGCGGCGTGGCGTGCCATCGTGGTGTGCCATCATGCACTGCCGACTCGGCGAGGCGGCCGGCCGCACAGCCGCACAGTAGTACCGACGACGTAAAACTTTGCAACTTTCAATTATTTCAAAAAAAAAAAGTTACACTTTACAAAATACCCATCAAAAATTTTATTATTTTTTTTAGAAAGTTTTACATTTAAGTAGGGTGCTACGCACAAAATTGTAGAAATTAATTTACTGCGTTAGCCAGGCTAATTAAGAGCAGCATTGAAACTTTGTTGAGGAATCGAGCCCGTCTGATAGCGTCGGTGACAACAGCGCAGGGTCACGGACTGCACGCAGCGGGTGGAACCAGACAGTCTTGATAAGGTCGTAAAATCGTAATTAATAAATCTGATAAGTTTTCCTTCCAGTGGCGGGCCAGCCATCGCAGATTTCATAGGCAGGCGAGGATCAAGTGAGTGTCCGCCTGGCGAAACTCTTACGGGCACTGCGAGGGCCGGGGATAACTCCTACGGCGGCTGGGAGCGCGAATTAGAGCGCTCTTTTGACGGGGCGCTGGACCGCTACACAGAAAGGCCCGTCTGCCCTCCGCGTACGGTTCACTGCACACGTCTATCCAGAAAACCCCGGAAACTGAACGAAAACTAACCCTTCAGACAAGCGGATAGTCGCACTTGCGGGGCTAATTGGCGGAGATTTAAGCCTTTTTGTTCGAAACGGCAATAAATAATGGTTTGCCCGATACATATTTATTGATGGGAATGGAGACGTTGGCCGCGATCCGTCTCCCAGGCCGGCTGTGCTGTGCCTTGCAGTGGCGTGGCGGGCCGCCTCGTCCAGCCTAGTCCAGCCTCGTCACAACCATAAATAAGTGCTCCCGGTGCGAGACCGCTGCCTGATTGGAACCGTACACAGCTCAAAACAAAAACTTAAAAAAATAGTTTTAAAATCCAAAACGATTTGAAATTTTTTTAAAAAGAAAAATAGTCCGAAAATCCGAAAAACAATTCAGAGATTTAAATTCGTTTCAAAAGTTGCCCAAAAATTGCCCAAAACCTTTTTAAAAATAATTTTTTTTATTAAGGTTCGAAAATGCGGAAATTTGAGGAATCAGTAAAGCGACCACATGCCAGTGACCGACGTATAGGCCCTCGACACTCCATGCGGAGAATGGGGAAGCGGTAGCAGCGTCGTCTTTGTCGGCGGATTTCAAGCGGCAAATATTGGAAAAAGTGCACTTTTGAGCTGTTTCTAGCTGCTGGACGGCGAGGCTCCGAAGCAGCACGGGAGGAGCGTTTGCTCGGCTCTGCTGCTGCGCGCCCCGTCTAGCCGCCAGGTATTGTTTACACACGAGATGCATGTCAATAAAGCATAACGTCTCTGATTTATCCCACGCATAACTCGGACCCTATTAGCACCGCGAGGGCCAGGCAGCCAGCCAGCCGCAGACAGCTTGTTTCGTTTCCAGCCGGGGGTCTCCATCCATTGCGGGGACCGAGTCGGAAAATGGAAAACGATTGAGCAGCACAAGGAAAGATTTCGGATGAAAAAGTGAAAATGAAGGGAAATTTCTTGTTGCATTATCGCCGCATAATGTCACCTCGTCTCCAATGAATCAAAAAAAAAGCCACTATGTTAAAATTACTTTTTATTGCAAGTCAGTAATGTTAAAGGGAAGTCCAGACGACTTTCTTCTTCTGTGCAGATCATAGGGCAGTCCATGAAACCCCCTCCCCTCCCCTCCCCCCGCCAGCAATTGATTCTAATTGCGTTGTATGAGCCGCAGTGCGCGGCTGTGCGCGGCCACCTTGGCTCCCACCTTGGGGGATAAAGGGAGTTTAAACGAGCTTAAAGTGTGAGTTATGCTCTCGGCAATGGAGACGGAGAGCAGCCAGAGGAAGCCCAGACCACAAACAAATGCAACCCGCATCGCAGCGCGGGAGATTTGAATTACAGCGGCTTTTTCTCAATAACGGTGTGTGTGTGTGTGCGTGTGTGTGTGGGCGTTTCAAGCATCGCATCAAGGTACGGTCCAAAAAGAGAACCACAAAAATGGAAAGAGGCGATGCCAAAGGTAATGACTCATTTTTTTCCCCCATTCCACACAGCACAGAGGATTTCCACGCCAAAAGAGAGGACAATGAAAAGTTTGGGTTACTATTATTTCTTCGTACGTAAGAAAGACGGAAACCGAGGCTTAAAAGAGTCACACAATGGATGAGACGCGCGCTGTGTGTGTGTGTGTGTGTGTGTTCATCTCGGTGGAGGTGGCCTGTAGAGGTGTTGGAGCACTTGTCGCCTCCCGTCATGCATGCACTGGACCGATGTCTTGATAAGGAGTCTCCACCGTGTGTGTGTGTGTGTGAGAGAGAGAGGGGGGGGGGGCAGAGGAAGGGGTATCGGAAAGGGAAGGGCGTGCTTGAGATACGAGCTACACCTGTAGCTCTGTTCACACATAAAGCCTTCCCTGTCACCTCCACTCCTACACACACGTACACACTCTCAGGCGCGGCGTACGCACTCGAGTACACATACTTGCACGGTTACACACCAAATTCCTTTCTACATTTTTGTACATCAAGAAACGGCCAGGCCAACAAAAACAAAACAAACAATTTGAAAAAAAAATTGCGACGGATGAATAATTGAAGATGAAACGATGGGAAGCAACGGAACTCCTCACAGGCCAGGGACGCCTACCGCGTTCAAACTAGCCCACAGCCCGAGATGCACACCTTGCCCAGGCCTTCGCACGTAGCGTCAACCCACAGAAACAATGGACCGTAAAAAACATTAACCCGTACGTACACTGTGTTCAACTAGCCCGTCCATCGAAGGTCCGAAAGCAAAGCCGTCACTGAGCACGTTGCTTTCTGTCATGATGCTGCCGTCCTCTGTGCCGTGACGCAATCAAATTAAACCGCTAGATAAATAACTCGAGAAACAAAGGCCAGACAGCGAATGGAACGCGCGCTAAAATCCTGCGCATCCTTCCGCAGTGTGTGGTTACGGTCTTGGACGGAGAGGGGAAAAAGTTCAAGAAAATAAAGGGTTAAGTTGGTGCACCGCGGTTCAACAGCCGAGCGGCCGACCGACATCGCGCGCCGAAAGCCGAAGTGGAGCCGAAGCGAAGTGTCGAGCCGAAGCAGTGCCGAAGCAGTGTCCGAAGTTGAGCCGATGACAAGGTCGTCGCGCCGGCTCATTTCTTTATGGCGAGTTTTACGAGATGCTGCTGGTAAAAGGGCGCTGACATCACCCCGCCCCGCCCCGCCCCGCCAGTGGCCGAGTCACAGCCTCTTTATCTCCGTTTTACTTTTGCATGTCCGGGGGGCCGCGCGCTAGCCGCGCGAGTGGACTGCGCCAGCTCAAGGACGTGTCAACTTAGGTGTGCTTTCTGTCCCAGAGCGCGCGCCAGAGTCGTCGCTCTGTCTCGCTCGCACTTGTGAGGGACGCCCCACTAGTGCGAGCGAGACAGAGCGAACGCTGCTTGGAGGGGGGTGGGGCCGGGCATGTTCCGCTTCACTCTATGCGGCTCGCCAAAATACCACGACCGTTTTTCTCGGCACCAGCAAAACCATGAGCAAAACTGTGCTCTACAAACCTCACTGTCTAGTACTTAGTACCCACTTATGGCATGGATCCGTGGACGGATGACTCCGGTCGTTCGATGTTCATTCAATGAAGCGTATGAAAGAACGGATGAATGGCAATGAATGGGGACGAAGGAAGAGAAGAAAGGAAGAGAGAGAGGAAAGAAGGAAACAAACGAAAGCCGAGCAAACAGTATCCATAGCCGCACGAAGCAAAGAACCACGGAATCTCAGCAGGCCAAGCCTAATGGCTAGCTATGCGGGGCATTATCAGACAGGCCCGAAATTGAGCCGCTGGCTTTGACGCGTGCGCCCGGCGTTTAGTAGTCTCTCTCTCTCTCTCTCACTCTCTCTCTCTCTCTCTCTCTCTCTCTCTCTCTCTCTCTCTCTCTCTCTCTCTCTCTCTCTCTCTGGGGTCAAGAGCGCGGCTTGCTGAGACTGAAAACCAAAGAATGCAATCCGTTCTGCCGCGCGGTGCCCCGGAGCCCTTTCGGACAGACTTCGGTCAGAGTGCGGTCAAGTCGGACACTTTTACCTGGCCCTGCCGACTGGCCTCGTCGCTGCGTCTCTCTCGCACTCATGGACCGTCCGGTGTCGGCGCGAGAGAGACAGAGCGACGAAACCGCTGCCTAGGCCAGCACAGCACCCTCGCCGTAAATTAAGATTCATTTTTGGAGGAGCGCGGCAAGGTAGCCAAAGCGCCTTAGGCCGAGCCGACACTCGCGCTGTCTCTCTCGCACCCGCAGCAATCATGGCACTGCGATCGGCCTAATTGAGTCATCCAAGCGACACAGCGCCGCGCAGCCAATGGCACGGCGCTGCAGCGCGACGCGCGCGCTTGTGGTGACCGCGGTGACGCCGGGCTGTCGCTCGAGGCATGACATATGACCGAGCGGGGTCACTCTCTCTCTCTCTGTCTCTCTCTCGCACACACACACACACACACACTACAGACGCACGCGCGGGGCGCTGCGATATGCCTCGCAGGCGCACCCTTGATTGACAGGGCTGCCACGATCCCGGCGAGCCGAACGGCCGAAAATGCAGCCGAAGGCTCGACGAATACACCCGAATGTCGGTCCGACTCCCCGAGCCGAGCCCCGCGGTGCCCCGCTGTGCCCTGCGGCCCAAACTTTGAACCAGGTCGCTGTCCAACGCCTTTTTCCCCAGCCTCGCCTTGATTGAGCAGTGTCTGGGTGAAGTGAGCGAGCGTGTCCGAGGGGCACGTCAGTGTTGCCACACTTGTGGGCGAAAACTCCCACGACGCATCGAAAAATTGGCGGCAAAAGTCTAACGACATTTTTCCCGCGTAGCAACACTGAGACCGCCGAGTGTGTGGAGGCCGCTCAGCCGAGCCGCTCGCAGTGTCACGAATCCGAGACCGTAAGTCGCGAATCCAGGTGCCTGCAGGTTTATGCTCCTCCGTCTTGCAGTGCTCGGCGGCATGGCAGCGGCTGGGATGGGTGCTGAAATGACGACCTCCGCGGTCTCAATCTGCCTCAATGCAGAATGCTCCGTGTTCGAAGCGCGGCGCGGCGCCAACCGCCTTGGCAAGTGCGGCCCGCACGACATGAAACGCATCAAGCGCGGCAGATTCAGGCTAGCCACAAAAATTTGGTTTCCTGAATTATGCACCTTGTGACTGTCACACTAGTACCGTTTTTGACAAGACGACTGCTGGGCGTGCTTCTCGTCGCAGTGGAGACTGACCTGTCGAGCCAGGGCGTCCCCGCGGCCGGGCCGCGAACCGCCGCCATCGTCGCGGTCCTCGCGGACTACCCTCCTCCTTCTTCTTCTTCGCGTTCCCGGTGAGGAGGACTCGGCGCGCCGTCGACGGCGTCCTCATGGCAGTCCCGGGCCGTGCGGGGCCGACCGCGGCGCGCTCGCCGTCACCGAGAGTGCCTTCGCGTCATGGCGGTCGCGGCGCCGCGCTCGACGCCGTCCTCGGCGACGCGTCCTCCACACTGCAAGTGTCACTCACGGCCGTGTTCGAGTGGCGTCTCACCGGACCGCGCGACGACACCGTTCGCGCGGCGAGAGCCGAATAGGGATTCGTTTGTTGACGAGTCGTGTCTGCCGACGGCGTGCCCGGCGTGCCGCACTGGGACACGCTCCACACTGTATGCACCGCGCCGCCCAGAACGCGCTTCCTGCAACGCGCTGCTCCGCGCTCCGCTGCCGGTCGGAGACTGAGGCGCCGCGACAGGCCGCGGGCTGGGCGTGGAGGAGGGGGAGGGGAAGCAACACAAACACCACCACGTGGAGTGGAGTGTCGCGGCGCGCGCCCCGCTAACTGTGACCACCACGTTGTTCGCTTTCGATATTTCGTGCAAAAACCGCAGGGCGATTCCGCAGTCATGCCACCAGCTCAGGTACTACACTTGCAGCGCGCCTGTGAAGTCAAGGGTGGGCAGCCCACCGGGCATGTGCGCTAGGCGGCCCTGCCTATCCACAGGCGCTATCATGCCATTAACATTAGGGGCTAGACCACACACTCATCAGCCGGTGGAACGTTGTCTGTGCTGGTTTTTGAGCTGGTTGGGGAGAAATGGGATGCATTGATTATTGGAAAAGTGGACTAAAATTAAATGTCTCGGAAATGGTATAAACTTTAATTTCGTATGTGCGATTGATTCAATTTATAGACAAAATACATTTTCTTACTAAAACTAAGAAAACTTGTGACATTAATAACAGTATGCACCCTCCAATCAATGATCAAAAGATGCATAGTGGCATAAGCAAACAGTGTCTTTAGAAACAAAATTACCAAACTGCTTGAGGTAAGCAATAAATAAATCCACTGGTCATTGTGATAAATTAAGAGGTTTTCTGTTTCAGAGGAATAACCACCACACTATTTTTTACACTAGCGTCTCTCCACCATCTACCTAACCGGTGCTCTTGTCCTACAGCAGCAATCAGATGTCGGCCATCGGAGGTAAAAGCCAATCCGTTGATGAAACCTTTGATGGGTATGTGAAACATTGACTCAAGTGTTCTGAATCCCTGACCACTCTTCCACAGCATAATCTTCCCATTCCTTGAGCCTGTAAATTAAGAACATAATAATTTATTTATTTTCTTGCAGACATAAACTGATCTATACAGCTCTCTGTTGTTTACAAACCAGATGCAGTGAGGTCTGTGTTGAGGTAGGCCGCAACACTGCATACCCAATTTGGTTCATTTGAGGCTGTGTCCTTGCCATGAGTGTCAACCACACTGCACAAAGGCTTCTTCTTCATGGCACTCCATACGCTGACTACACTATAAAGATAGAGAGCACAACATTAACTTTTGAATATTACCTACAACAATTATGTTTCAAACAAATACCTCAACATACCCGTCATCACCACCAGAAATGAAACGCTGTTCATCAAGAAGTTTGACGCAGTCAATGCTACCCCGATGACCATTGAAAACAAGCTGTGACTCTTCAACTATTTTCCAAACTCTTATAGAAGTATCTCTGCCTCCAGCTGTTACAGCTCGCTCTCTAGACAATGCATCAATTGCTGTTATGGGACTTTGGTGACCAAATCTGAAAAATAAAAATGCCAATTTAAAGACATTATTCTGTGCATAATCAAGTTAAGCTCAAACGTGTAAAACTAAAACTTAAATCTTACAAGGTTTCAATGCAGGACATTTCATCTAAACTCCAATACTTCACTGAGCGGTCAGATGAAGCACTAAATAGTTGATGAGTTTCCTTCCTAAATGCGAGTCCTGTTATAGGACCTTTATGCCCAGTGAAGGTGCGAATGTGTTGTAAAGTATCTGCATTCCAAATAATGATAATTTTTCCTTCATCACCAGAGGCCTGAAGTACGAAAATACAAGTTAATGAAAGCTCATCAAATCTACATAGGTTCTACATGATTTGAAGGGCTGACCTACCAAATACTCTCCATCTGTAGACACTGACAAAGACAATATCCTGTGCTGATGGCATTTATCTTTTAACTCTTCTGAACATTTCTTAAAATGAGGTGTAGCTTTTAATTTCTTTTTTTCTTTTAAACTCCCTGTTAGACAGAAAAATTACAGAATCACTTCCATGTCAAAGCAACTGAAAAATTATGTCAATTATTGGGACTTACATTTGACTATAACACAATCTTTAGATGCAGAATAAACATATTGGTTGTCAGCAGAGATAACTAAACAAGTCACAGGAAGTTTATGGTCCTTGCATGTCAAAATTGAAATATTGTCCTCATCATAACCAATATAATTATCAGCAACACACTTGTGTATCTTTCCTGATTCTTCCAGCAAATCATGTTTTAATCGGCTTTCAATCACAGATCGGTCAATCTCTTTTGATTCAGCTCTTTCTTTTTCTGTAGGGAAATAAAGTTAAATTGACAACTCACAAAAATTTGGAGGACAGTAAGAGAGAAATAGGCTTTAAAAAATGTATCTTTAAGCATGCCTTGTCTTTCTATTTCTTCTAAGTATTTCTTAGCCAAGCGGAGCTTCTTCTCTTGAGTAGTTTCGGCAAGATCTTCATCTGAACTGGTAGCTCCTTCAGCTTCATCGTCATCACTATTCTCAATGGTATGCTTCTCATGAGCACCTATAGTTTCCTCGTACTTTCTTTTAGCCTTTTGGACTTCTGATGACTGAAACAAAAATTGAACAGGCATAAGAAATTGGCACCGTCACACCAAACTTGACTTCCATAAAATGGTGAATGCGGTTCAACCGAAGACCTATCGTGCAACACAAAAGCTGCAAAGAAACTGAAGTCAACTGCCACAAAAACATTTCATAAAGTGAAATTCGTTATCCAAATCAAAAGTTTGTCCAGTTTCGTGACCAGGTTAGAACAGCAGAACACTTTTTTACGGAGGCAGAGCCACAGCATAATGAAGAAACAAGTAATTCAAACGCATACCGTCCGTTTCTTCTTTTCCTCCTTCTTGGGCCTCTTGCCTTTGGACTGCTTATCACGAATAAAGAAAGACATTTTCCTCTAAATGGTAAAACACGTGTGTAAACCAACGTGTGTCTACATCGTCGAACCACAACAAACACCGCACCGCCTTGCGGAACAAAAGCAGCACGGGCATTTTACTGTACCAACGTAAGTAACAAAAATATGTGAAACATTAAGAAGTTTTGGAATTATTTTGAAGTAAATGGGCACTTCTATACAGAAACTTAAGCTGACCTACGATTTAGTCACAAGATCTATTGATACTAGGCCGACTTTCGACATAAAACTTAGGTTTTTGTGTGCAGTACAGTAGCTGGACATTCTCATTTGTAGCGCTGAAATTTGAACTTCGTGAGTTGTTGTCTGCACCGGTCTGCACTATTTGCAATTTCTTAATTGAATCTCAGACGCTCTGAGATAAGTATGAGTGAAAATGCGATCTTTTAATGTAATTGATGTTTTAAAAAAGGGTACGGATGAATTAAAATTGTTTTAATAGAAAATTAAATTTAATGTAAGGTAAAAAATTGTTGAAAGAAACAACACAGCATAACATTGTAGGATGGCACAAGTATCAAACTGAATTGTTACATTAGAGAGTTATGACAGTTTCAAAGTTTAAGAAGTGCCAGATATTCGTTCATAGACAATATAGTCAAAAGTAGTATCATTCTCGACTTGGGTGTCTTGCGGTACAGCTGGGTCTTGGACTCTAGTAAAGTATTCTTCTTCAATTGGCTCCAAAAAAGTATCACAATCATAAGACTTGTTGATCTTGGTCAGGTAAACACGATGACAAAATGGTGATTTCAGAGCAGTTTGGTACACAGACGATCCTCCAATGACCCACGCCGTCTCTATTTTATCTGCCATTGATTCTTGTTGAAGAGCGTCGACCACAGCCTCAAAGGAAGAGAAAACTTGCACATCTTGTGGGAGATTGTTGCATCTGGGTTGCCTTGAGAGAATGACATTCACTCGACCAGGTAAAGGACGGAATTTCTCTGGTATGGAATCCCAAGTGCGGCGACCCATAATGACCATATTTTTCTTTGCAGCATCTTGTGTACTTAAAGTCATACGTTTGAAGAAGGCCAATTCAGACTTCAATCTCCATGGCAAATTTCCACTAACTCCAATTCCAAAGTTTTCACAAACAGCAACAATGAGGTTAATCCTTGGAGCCATTGTCCAGTTTTCCACAACTTCTGGTGAGTGACACCTGTTGATCGCCGCCGCTGATTGTAGATGGCTGCCAAACTACGTAGCAGTGACTCAACCGACTGGGTGCAATAGTCCAACACGATTCAATTCCCTTCGCAAAGTCGAAATTTCAGCCTGTTGTTGTCGTTGTCTTTGGCGCTCGCGGCCATTTCCAAACTGTGTGCCAACTGCAGAAAAAGGCGCCAAATTTGAATCGACCGGCAAGGTGTTCCCGTGAACACTTAAAACTGCATGCATTAGCGAGGCCGATGTCCCTGCTTACCGTAAATAGGTACGGTACTGCTCTAGAAAGTGAAACAGTAGCCGAGGCCGAGATGGCACAAACGCGAGCGCGAGCGCCCAGTGGGTAGGCAAAGGTTGGCGTGCATGTGCGTTGGGCTGCCTACCGGCACGGCGCCAGCACAGCACGGATCACGGACAGGGAAGTGCAGTGTAGGTGCACCCACGGGCCCTTTTGACTGTGTTGACACAGCGTTGCGGAAGCGCGCCGTCAGCTCGAGTCGACGAGGACCTGCTGTTGCCTGCTGTGCCGGCTTGCCGGGAAAACAGCCTGCCTCACCATTCCGCGGCACAGGCGCGGCCGTCGGCAGCCCCGTCCGTCGCGGACCCCGACGCGCCCACACCAGAAGCAGACGCGCCCGTCGACGACATGGACATGGGCCACTGCAAAGCGCTGATAGTCCTGGGGCTGGTGCTCGGCGGCGCCGCGGCCACCCTAACCTCCAACTCGGCGAGGGAGAAGGAGAATGCCGCCTTCCCCGTGGTCGTCAACACCTGGGCCGACAACGGCTTTCAAAGCGCCGGCGCCAAAGGTGAGTTACGGTTGCCAACTCACGTCTATGAATCGCTGGCGGTGCTGGCGGTCTGAGAGAGCCTGCCGGTGTCCCATCTGAACAAAATAGACCTCAACTTTTTATTTTCAATTTCTTCAATTTGTTTTGTGAAATGCCCTTATTGAACTCTTGCAACATCAACCATTTTACTTTCTTATTTTTTTTTCACATTTTTGGGACTTGTGTGGAGGGAAAATGAGAGCGCTTTAATTTGCTATTTCTGTCTCTTGTCGAAGCATGGGAAGTCCTGAGTAAAGAGAGGGGCTCTTCTCTTGATGCCGTTGAAAGAGGATGCAGTGTTTGCGAGGAGCTGCAATGTGATGGTACAGTGGGGTACGGAGGCAGCCCCGATGAGACAGGTGAAACAACACTGGACGCCATGATCATGGATGGGTACGTTTTGCATTGATTAATACCGCAGGATTGTATTTTTAAATCAAAAATAAATTGACTTTAATTAACATGGTTGGTTCTAGGGTGACTATGAATATTGGAGCAGTCAGTGACCTGCGAAATATACGGAATGCTATCTCTGTAGCGAGAAAGGTCCTTGACCATACAGCTCACACAATGCTAGCGGGCAATCAAGCAACCAAATTTGCCAAGCAGATGGGTTTCAAGGCGCAGTCTCTAAGTACTAACAACTCACTTGGAATATGGCAAAAGTGGAAACAAAATAAATGCCAACCGAATTTTTGGAGGGTATGTAGATTGGATGAGTGGAAAATTCTTAATTCGCAAGAGCCGTGTTTTAGAAACATTATGTGACCCCTTCGATTTTCTTTTGTTGTCTATCTATAATCCTAGAATGTTTCACCTAATCCAACGGGTAGCTGCGGCCCTTACAAAGCCAACCATAAAATAAGCACTGCAGACTTGATCCAAAGCAGCAATGAGATCAGTTCCCAAAATCACGACACCGTTGGAATGGTTGCAATTGATGCTGAGGGGGTGATTGCAGCAGGCACTTCGACAAATGGTGCCCGGCACAAAATAGCGGGGTCAGTATGATTAACAATTTAATAGTCTATTTTTCAAGAGCAAGCGTGAAACATTTCCTTCATTCATCACGCAGACGAGTTGGTGACTCCCCAATTCCTGGCGCTGGAGCGTATGCAGACCAAGACGTCGGAGGTGCAGCTGCTACAGGAGATGGGGACGTTATGATGAGATTTCTTCCAAGGTAGTTCTCCATCATTGCCTAGGCATGTGCAACTTTGCTTGTCATGATATGTAAAGCATTGCTTTTTCCAGTTTTTTAGCTGTTGAGGAAATGAGAAGAGGTCAGACTCCAAAGCAAGCGGGAGAAACAGCCATCAGGCGTATTGTTGCAAAGTACCCAAGCTTTCAGGGGGCAATGGTTGTTCTTCACAAGAGTGGACAGCATGCAGCTGTGTGCCATGGGCTTCCTGGTGGCACATTTCCATACACACTGGCAAGCCCTACAACTGGAAAGGCCACAGTGTTCTCTGTCAAGTGCCTTTAGATTGCACTTTGACAGTCAAACAAATCACTGTAACAAAGACTCAACCTGCATCAAGTACAAATTGTTGTCAGAAAAAATTTTAGACATCTATCTGACTAGACCAGTAGGGTGGCAAATAAATGTTCTAAAAGATTGATTCTTTTAAATTTTATTTTGTAACAACATAGCCATTCATCCGATCATCTCCAGTTTTGCTCCAGTTTGTAATGTAGCATCGCAGCTACAAAAGTTGAATGACGGTGGGTACAATCTAACTGCAAGGATGTAAAACTATTCATTCCAATTAGGAATATATGGAATGAAGAGACAAATTGTGCCTAGTGTTAATACAACTATGCAAAGATCACATAAGGTAAAAATGATATATATGCATGTACACAGAGGATTTTATGTCTTAACACTTTACCACAAAACTAACATACACATGGAGTTTATAAATAAGAATCAAGTCCATTTTGATGCACACTCATATACACAACAATTTTTAAATATTTACAGTAAATCCAGTTATCTCAGTTTCAACAAAAAAAATCATACAAAACAGAAAGAAGTCTATAAGGTTTGCCTCACAGGCAAGTAAACGAACAAACAAACAAAAATATTTGAAGAAATATAATTTGAAAAGAGAAACATCAGTTAACATAAATAACTGTATAAAACAACTAGTAGCTGTAATAAAGTACTGTATTGGTATAAAAAAAGTTAAATCTAGCTTTGCAAGTGGCACCCAGTTTGTGAATCCTCAAATACAACACAATTACTTACAAACATTCATACACACATAAATGCATAAATTCCCTCTGAATACTGGTGCACAATTCATACATTAATATAAAACAAATAATCTTAAGAACAAAACACAAATTCAATTTGTTTTATCACATTTTTACACCAGGCTTGACCTATGCCATGACCTGTAACAACTGATGCTTTACATCTAATACAGACTTGTCACATTTTGATTGCATGTTGCAACTGTCTCTTTTCACATTTATATTTACAATACAACATTCTACAAGGGCAGGACAAGTCTCTACAAGATGAACAGCTGTTTGGATGATTAATATGAAACCACCAAACTGCATGTTTACAAGAATGGCACAAAATGTGTAACTCAGTTGGCCAAACCATAGGTAGCACACACAAAGTAAAAAAAAAAGTGTTTTAAAACACTAATTTTTGGAGGAAAAATAATAAAAAAGAGTAGTCACTATGTTTTTAATTAAGGGTATGGTAAACTTCCTCTCAGCTTGACTGTTAAATACCTCATCAGTCTCTTCATGATTCAGTTATGTCATAAATATACAACTCTGAGCTGAAAAAGGTCGAGGAAATGTATTTGGCCTTCTTACCTGAGAAGGTTCAGATATATTAATTATAGGAAAGATAAATCAGAATGAAGTAACAACAATAATATTGCACTTTTGCTTCGTTGTTTGAAAAACTACAGTAAAAAGGATGCTTCAATATCATTTTTGTTTTAAGCAGTCTTAATTTCTCACCAGCTGTCTGTGAAATTCAGTTGAAATGATGCACATCAATGATGGGCACAGCCATGTTTTACTGGGAAACTTGAAGCCAGACAAATTATGCACACAAAGTGACCTAAGCCAGAAGCACTTAAATTAAAGACAGCTTGGTGAAGCATGAAACATTGGTCCATTTCACATACACAATTCTTTTCCAATTTTAAAATGATATCAAAGTCAGCCACAATAAGGCAAAAAACATAACTTAAAATAATTTATTTCTTCTGAAAGCTACTGCGGCGCACTTGGAAAACTTGCTGATATGGATCATATGGAGTGCGCGCCTCTAGGAACTGCTGGGCGAGAGCTCTTGTGGGTCGAACGTCAGCACGAAGGATGACCACGCCAGATGGGTTTACTTTGACTTTGATCTTGGTCTGGGGAGTCAGGACTCCATAGCTCACATCTTCATACAGGTCCTAAAACCACAATATCTAGTCAGTTTTCACATCTTAAGTGTGATTAAGAGCCTGGCTAGACTTAGTGAACCTACCTCAACTGCATAGCCTCCAGGGTTGTAAAGTCCCAGTTCCTGAAGAGTGACAGCAATGTCAGAAGGTGTGCCATCCACACGACGGTTCACGAAGGCAAGGCCATAGGAGTAGTAGTTCTGGAAGGTAGGGGTGATGGGGCGAGCCCAAATCTCAATGCCGGAGTGCTGCAGAGGAAATTGCACAATTAGTTATTGTCAATTCACAAAGATGACACTCCATACAGATGTTTATGACATAAGCCAAAATGTACCTTGTAGATTCGTCGGCCTTGGATTCCCAGAGGATCCTGGTCAACAGCAATAATTTTTTTGTTCTGCAGGATAGCTTTGTACTCTGGCCTAATTGTTCTGAGGTCGACAGACATAAGCAGAGGGGCAGCAAGGATAGCCCACAGAGCCATTTGAGTCTTACTTTGCTCATAGCTCAAACCAAAGTTGCCAATGATGAGCTGAGAACAAACAAATTATTGTTAGTACTCTAACAAATCATTATTTTTCTTCACCATAACATTTTAAATAAACATGAACAAAATTTAAGAACAATATAATGAGCAAACACGTTTGAAAACCCACCATGTCAGGGTCATTCCAATGACCAGGTCCTGCATTGGGAATGATCACATCTTGATTGTCACCATAGTAATCAAAGATTGTTTCAAGACTTTTCCAGGAATCCTGAATGTCATCATAGTTGCGCCAAAGATTACAATGCTCAATAATAGAAGAGAAGTTTGGCTGTGCAAAACAAAACAAAAATGTTAAGTAGAGTTGTACTTCAGAGGGGAACAGGGTAAACTTGGGAAAGGATTCACCTGCATTCCTGCATAGATCTGATAGACAGGCCAACTGCATGAGTAGATCATGGGACGACCAGTGCGATTCAAATGGTATCCAAACTCAGGGTAACCTGTGTTCCAAGAAATAAAAATTAAAGAAAGTTTGTGTTGACAAACACAAGGCAAATTAATCAACAGGAAACGGCATACCTCTGTCCATTTCACTCGGGTGGGCATAGCACCCATCCAGCTTAACATAATCAACATCCCACTCAGCAAAGGTCTGCGCATCTAGCTGCAAGTAGCCCAAAACTCCGGGGTAGCCCGCGCAAGTGTAGTTGCCAAAGTCCTCATAAATTCCAAACTTAAGTCCTTTAGAGTGCACCTGAAAATGGCCCGCAATTACAGCACATGTGGTATGGGGAAGATTTAGGAACAAACAGGATTTCAAAGTCTAGATTTACTACTTACATAGTCAGCAAGAGCCCGCATACCACTTGGGAATCTCTGCCTATCAGCTACAAGCTGACCAGAAAAGCTTCTCTCCTTTTCCAACCAGCAGTCATCCACATTGATGTATTCATATCCTACATCCGCATATCCTTCTGACACCACCAAGTCTGCCATGGTCCTGAATAATTTTTCACTAGAACCCAGAAGCAGTGTTAGGGCAAATTTTCCTTGAACTATCAACTCAAAAAATAAATTCAAAAGTGGGCATAGATGGGTTCATTTCTAAGTAAAAGAAAGTTGATTGAGGATGTAACAGGATTTCAACTGTAATTGATCAAATTTAAAAACAAATGAAACTAAACTAAAAAAAAAGAAGAAGACTGCTCACTAACTGGTTGTTTTGAAAGATCACTTCAATATTTGTTTTCTACGTACGTTAATATTTTTCAAACAGACAGCTATTGTTTTGATGAGCAACATACACTCTAAAAAAAGTTAAAAAACAAAAACTAAAAAAAATATTCAAATTTCCTGCTAGATTTTTATTTTAAAATCTGGTGCAATAAATGCCACACTTAATCCAACTACACAGAAATTTATTTAAGTGAATGAATTTTTTTTCTTAAAATGATATCAGTAATTTTTTTCTGAAGCTAAAAAAATAAATAGATAAAGAGAAGATAAAGAAAAAGTGGAATGGAAATTATGAGCTTACCTGATACAGTTGTCGGGATCATTTTTGCAGTCAGTGTTGCAGCGGAAGCGCTCCCAGGCAAGCCATCCCATGGGTGGTGTTCTGGCCAATCCATTTTCAAGAGCCAAAACTGCTGTTGCTGCTATCACCACACTCACAATCACTACTGATGCTTTTAAGCTCATTTTCACTGCAAACAGAAGAAAATTCACTTGCTCAGCACATATCCTTGTATCCAGGGGGGACGGTGCACACACAAACACACTCAGGATTCACTGTCGCACATATCTTGACGCAAACTCACTTTCAATAAGTTGTCCCTATGTTAACTGCACTACACTCTTACTGGGGACAAGAAGCAGAATAGATCTGCTCTGTCCTCTGGTTAGCACACACACTCATACAGACAGGCTGAGTCCCCAGCCGCTGGGAAGAGACTGGCTCAACAGCTAACAACACCAGTGTTGTGGGGCCCGGCGGGCGGGGGGGAGGGGGCGGGCGGTGAGGGAATGGGGAGTGGGAGGTGGGCCGGTGGGAGAGAGGGGCGGAGGGAGGAGGGAGGAGGGCCGGTGAAGGGGAGGCCGGTGGAGGCAGCAGCGGCAACAGGCATAAGAACTCCCCACTCCAATCCTCCATGACCCCCACTCCTACAACACCAGTCTTCCTTTTTCTTTTTACTTTCACTACTACATGCACTCTCCCTTGAAAAGCTTAGTTAACTTCAGGTGATAACAAACTGGGGGAGTTTGTCACCTTCTTTTTAAATAATTCTTTCCTCCTGATATGAGAAGATTTTTACTATGTACTTAGTGGACTACTTGTTGAACAATTCGCAACAAACTGCATCAAAATTTCTAAAATTTTAGACGAGCAACAAATTATTATAGTACGCACTCCAGTAAGTATCAAAGAGTTCTATTTCGATGGAAAACATTTCTTTATGAAGAAGGTCTTCCCACAGCTCTTCACGTACGTGATAAATTTGTACAAACTAAAATTTTTATGACAATATTAGTAGTGTGACCCTCACACCCTAACAACACAGCACCTCAAATAAATTGTAGGCGCATGTCTAAACACTGCTCTTGCAGCACACAGCCATAATGAGTGCCTATGCGAACTGGATTGCTTTTTTTCTCAGACAAAGTCAACCCAGCAGGCGCTGCGCAAACTCAGGTATTCCAAACATGCAGTTCACCTGCCAGGCCAGAGGGCTCAACGCAAATCAGGAAATTAGCGCAAACTGCTCTGAGAAGTTTGAGAGAAAGAGAGAGAGAGAAAGAGACAGTCCAGCCGTGCTCCAGCTGATGACGTGACGCGGGGAGCGGACGCAACTTTGGTTCGGTTCGGCCAAAGCCAGAGTCCGAGGGGTCCGAGGTCCGAGATTAGGTCCAGCGGGCCAATTCTAGACAGAGCTTTCGTCGCTCTGTCTCTCTCGCACGCACGGGGCGTGCAGTGTTCTGAGTCAGCCTAGGCCAGCCTAGGCAGGTCGACTCTCGGTCCAACGTTCAAACTGCCGGCTAAACGGGCGGACAGCAGGGCTTCGTCGCTCTGTCTCTCTCGCTCTCGTGGGGCGATCCGTATGAGTGCGAGAGAGACAGAGCGACGAAAACGACTCTCGGAATCAGTCTGCTGTTCGCACGATAATCTGCGGCCTTGGGCGGACAGGACACGGGCTTGCCGGCCAGTGCCAGGACCGGCCAGGGCCTCGGCTCGGCACGCCGACTCACTCAAATTGAGCGTAAAAGTATCAAGGGTACCGACCCGACAGAACGTTGATTCCGAGCTGCCTCTCTCGCACCCTCGCGGGACGCGGCGTGAGTGAGACAGAGCGACGACAACGACTCTCGGAATCAGTCTGCAGAGGAATCCTGCCGAAGGCTCGCGGTTCGTGTAGGTTAAGGTCGCCAGCAATCTCACCTCACGCGTGTAGCGTCCGCTGACCGACAGAAAACTCACCTCCGGAGAAACCAAGGGCCGGCGTGTCGTCTGCGGGTCCGATTCTGTAAGTACCGCCGACGTGCTCAATTTAGCGCAGCAGCAAGGAACTCGCACCGGAGGTATCGCATTGTGCCATCAGCTGTGCATGTTTTTGTTATTGTTTACGTCACAGTGGCGGGGTCACTGAACCGCAGTGCGCGGTACCAACATGACGCCGCGAAAACGGAAAGGGGAAGTTGGCTGCGTGTTGGCCGCCCTGCTCTGTTCAAACGAGGGCGCTGGGTCGTCAAATGGGGCGACGGATTCGACTCCGTGTCTGTCTCTCGCACTCATGAAGCGTGCTGTACAGATGCGAGAGAGACAGAGCGACGCGAGAAGTTTGAAAACGGCGAGTTCTGTCTGTACGCGGGCCGCCAGTGGGAGGGAGAATGGCTCGATTGTAAAATTTTATGCCTCCATTTTGCCATCTAGAGCGCCGATTAGGAAACGGGCCAATAAAAATGTGGCGCTTTGTCAAATCATGAGCTCGCGATCCGCGACTGCGTCTAGTCGCTCTGGGGAGCCCTACATTGCCCCTTCTGGGCAACAAGAGGGGATCAGGATCAATAGAAACCGTGCGTGGTCAAAAGGTTCTAAAAATATCAAAAATGTAAAAAATGAGAGTGGGTGGTCAAAAAGGGTCAAAAGTGGCGGGAAGGCCAGGCGGCGTGGATGTGTACAACGCCACGCTGCACGACACGGCTGGCGCTACACTGTTAGGCCGGCGACACGATGGGAAAAGGGCAAACGTGACCCACCCTTGGGGCCTGCCGGCCTGCTGGGGGGCCGTCCCTAACCTAGTCCCTTAGCCTAGTGCACTGATAAGTATAGCGAACTGGAGCACGCCTCGCTCAAGCCTCGCCGCCTTACGTCAGGACAGGCAAGCTGTCATGCGGGATGGAACGGACTCCATTACCTCACCGGCCGAGCGGCAGTGCGCGTAATACGAAGACACGTTTTGGTGAATCTGGACTATCTGGACACGCGGACCGTGCCTCTCTCTCTCTCTCTCTCTCTCTCTCTCTCTCTCTCTCTCTCTCTCTCTCTCTCTCTCTCTCTCTCTCTCTCTTGCACGTCCTGCTGCCAGAGCGGGTGATATCGTACGACGCGGAACTAGTGCCCCCCCCCCTCCCCGCCTTTCGGTACGCCCCCCAGCTGCGCGCTGTGATATCACGACCTTGGCTCACATCGTTCGGGGATACACTGCGTTACACTGCATCGGCTGCTATCGCACTCGGTGCACGCCGGAGAGAGAGAGAGAGAGAGAGAGAGAGAGAGAGAGAGAGAGAGAGAGAGAGAGAGAGAGGGCGAGGGAGACAGGTGTGCTAGAGTCCACGGCCACCGCGCACCGGGAGGCTGGTGGTGTTGCTCTGGTCGCTGTCTCTCTCGCACCCGTGGGACGTCCCGCAGCGGTGCGAGAGAGACAGAGCGACGCTGACTTCAGGCCTCCCGCTCTGCTACAGCCGAGTGTTCATTTTTGCAGTGGCGGTCGGATTACGCCGTGATGCAACGGCTGGGATAAAGCACCTCTCTCTCTCTCTCTCTCTCTCTCTCTCTCTCTCTCTCTCTCTCTCTCTCTCTCTCTCTCTCTCTCTCTCTCTCTCTCTCTCTCTCTCTCTCTCGCAGGGGGTGCTCGCGGGAAGTACGAGGGTCGGGCCAAACCGAGGAAAAGGAAGAAAGAAAAAGTGCCGCGGCCGGTATTCGAACCCGCGGCCGGAAAGTACCGCCGAAGGCCGCACGCATGCAAAGCGACTGCACTCGCTGCACTGCGTCGCTCTGTCCCTCTCGCACTCGTGGGGCGTTCCGCGGAGGTGCGAGAGAGACAGAGCGACGTGCTGCACGCCGTACCGCCGCGACGACGAACATTGACACAGATCACGCGTCCGCACAGCGTACGTGCAGCCAGCAGACGGAGAGTCGTCGCTCTGTCTCTCTCGCTCTCGTGGGGCGCCGGCCGCTGGCTGGCGGGCCGGCAGCGGCGCACCCCATCCTTCGACGCCATCCGTCGAAATTCGCCTCAGTCTGAGGAGTTTAGCAAGCCGCGCCGCGGTGGGGCAACGAAGAACGAAATGCATTTCGCTTCTACTGCCGGCCGCACCGCCGTACTTCGACCAGACTGGAGTCTGGAGTCCAGCCGCCGCGCAGTGGGCCAGAAGACCGGTGGAGGCGGCCAAAACTCTAGACGCGTTTTGATAGCTCCAGAGTCGCTAAATGGGACTCGAACCGAACGTGTGACCCCACCAATGGATTGCTCTCCGAACGAGGAATCCATCGGTGGGGTCATACGTTCGGTTCGAGTGCCATTCAGCGACTATGGAGCTCAAAACGCGTCTGCAGTTTCGGCGTTTCGGCCGCCCCCACCGGTCTTCTGGCCCACTGTGCGGCGGCCGACAGAGACGAACGACGCGCCAAATCTGCCTCCAGCGAGTCGAGTGGGCTGGAGGCTCGACTCGGCTGGACACTGCCAGAAGACAGCGCGCACTCGTTGGAAAAAGGCCAGAGAAATAGTCGCCTGGACTTGATTTCCGTGCTAGTTTACACGAGATCCTCATGGGCACGATCTGCCCCTCGTCACGCTGTCTCTCTCGCAGCCCAGCGGGCCGGCCCACGAGTGCGAGAGAGACAGCGAGACTGGGCGTCGGTTGGCCGGCCTGACGGGTCAGTCCCGCACAGTGGGCCAGAAGACTGTTGGAGGCGGCCAAAACTCTGGACGCGTTTTGAGCTCCAGAGTCACTAAAGAGGACTAGAACCGAACGCCTAATGGATTCCTCGTTCGGAGAGCAATCCATTGGTGGGGTCACACGTTCGGTTCGAGGCCCATTTAGCGACTCTGGAGCTCAAAACGCGTCTAGAGTTTTGGCCGCCTCCACCGGTCTTCTGGCCCACTGTGCGCCGCCGGTGCCGCGTTGCCGGCTGCCTGCTGCTGGTTAATTATTATGTAAGTTGGTAACACTGCGGGTAATCGCCTCGTCAGCTGGTCTGCTGGTCCACTGTGGAGTCCAGTGGGCCGGGCAGGCCGCCGCTGCCAACATCCCGGCGAGAAAAGAGCGCCACTCCGCCACTGTAACGGGGCGGGGAAGGCCAGACAGACAGACAGACAGACAGACAGACAGACAGACAGACAGACAGACAGACAGACAGACAGACACCTAAATCAAACTATCTGCCGATAGTGGAGCGTAAAGAAGACAAGGCCTCGCCGCGAATAACTCATCCGAGTCGTTGGGCGGAGCATAAAGTGCCGTGCAGAGGATAAATACCGGGCGATTAAATTCAAATCGAGAGTCCTTAATGCGGGGCACATGGCGCCTAGCCCAAGCAGTGCTACACTGTAAAACAATGGAGTCAAATCAATGTGGTGAAAGACATTTTTAAAGGAAATGATTGTATTGGCAGCATTGTCTTTGCACGCGTTTTCGACCTGGGCTCCTCGATCGAGGCACACTGGATTTAGAGTTTTGGCCGCCT